GTCTCTGAGCAACCGTGGCTTTCATGTCCCAGACCAAAGCAGACCCCTCATGGCAATGTCCGAACCCTACAAACCCTAAAGCCCTTCACCTTCGGGTTTAGGGTCGAGGGTGCAAACCCTAGGCCCAGTTAGACGTTTACGGGTTGAATGGCTTTGTTTTCACTGGTGACCGAAAAGCAGGAATGGCCAAAGGCTTTAGGGCTGTGCTTAAGCCGAGGGTGCAGGGTTACCCTTGAGGGGTTCGGCGTTGTTTTACAAGCGAAACGAATAAAGGCTTCAGGGTTGTGTCTAAACCCTAAACCCTAAACCCTAAACCCTAAACCCTAAACCCTAAACCTTGAGTTCAGGGTTTAGGCTTTGCAAAGGGTTCAGAGAAGCACCTTGAGGTTCTGGCAGACTGTCTTTCTGCTGGCCATTGCACACCATGGATCGTGACAGGAGATACTTCAACCCACAAAACTGAACTCAAAGTATAAAATGGAAACAAACAGGGATCTCGTCAACACATTTAGCATGAGCATGCACTATCTGTACAACAGCAAAGGAAAGGCAGATGGGTGATCATGCATCCCAAGACTAGTGCAACACAAGTCAGGTCCCTTAGCCGGAGCTCAGAAACCCAGACCCCCAAAAGGATCTAAAAAATAGATCCCCTAATTAGGGACCCTAACTACTCAAGGGTACTTTATAGGAACCCCCTTCGGGGATCTATTTTTTAGATCCTTTTGGGGGTCTGGGAAGCTTTGAGACCTCCTGCTCAGGGCATTTACCGACAGCGGGTCAGCAGCTGCAAGGAACCCGTGCCGCAAAGCACATCAATCGACAACGAAACCCGTGGATAAGAACTCTTAATCTCCTAGACAAGCCCCAACCCTAAACCCCAAACCCCAAACCCCAAACCCTAAACCCTCAACCCTAAACCCTAAACCCGAAACCTCTACCCGACGCCCGACGCTGCGCATGGAATGGCTTGCGCCGAGCTGCCTTCAACTGTGGAGCCTTGGCCTACTCGTAAGGTTTAGGGTTTAGGGTTTAGGGGTTTAGAGTTTAGGGTTTAGGGTTAGGGTTTAGGGGGCTTGGGGCTGAAGTTCGCACATAAGATGGAGCTTGGTAGTTTAGGGTTTTGGGTTTAGGGTTTGGGGTTGGTGCTTCATGGAGTTTAGGATTTAGGGTTCAGGCTAATTAGGGTTTAGGATTTCGGGTTTAGGGTTTAGGGCGGGTAAACCCTAAACCCTGAACCCTCGATCTCGCTTTCTGGGTATCTGTATTTATAAGCAGTATCTTCTGTAAGCGTGTATCCCAGATAAGCAAGGCTAGTGCTTTAGGCTCTTCCGCTGCAGGTCTTCAACTGTGGTTTTTCGATCTTCAAGTCCAAACCGCATGCCACTAATCAATCACCCCCGTCCCCCAAAGACTTAACCAAAGACAGGTTCCAAGCCCCCTAAGTCAACCCGAAGCCACGGAAGACCTACATATCCTAACCCTCACAATAGCGAGGTCGAACATAATGGGGGTGAAGACTGGTGCAACGACTCCCCTAAACCTCCGGGCAACGTATATCCTCACCCAACAACCTCAAAACTAAACAAGAAAAATCAAACTTCGAGCGGCTCAGGTGGCGCTGCTGCTCCCATCCGGCGATGTGCCGAACGCTGCGGACCTGCAGCGACATGGCCTTCGCCATCCCGAGAACGCAGAAGGCATCTGCTAGGCATAATTACCTATTTTTTTTTGGGGGGGGGGTCCTTAGTAAAAATATGATCAGTATAGTATATCCCAAAACCCTATTCCAATTATAAAGCCTCCGACATTACCCACAACGGGTTCAGGCTTGGTTTCTGGTTTAAAGGTATAGGTTTACAAGGGGTTTAGTTCCAAGAATCCTTTCAGGGACGATGTCGCACGCGGAATGCCAGAATGGCAGTGACCCTCGGGGACAGATTTAGGGGTTCGCTGTTAAAGTCTCCGGTTCAAAGGCTTATAAAGTAGGTAGTATTATTACGGGTACCCCTTAAAGGGTACCCCTTCTGAACCCTACTTTTGGCTCTCTTGGAAGGGACCTTATTGAGAGGGTCTATATCCCCAAGGGTCCCCCTACTCCTAGCTCCCATTCTAAAGGAGCTCGGGAGTTGAAGGTATCCCTTTGTTCACTCTTTGTGTCTTTTGGGGATCGATGGCCCTAAACCCTAAACCCTAAGCCCTAAACCCTAAGCCCTAGGCCCTAAACCCTAAACCCGACACCCTCAACCCTAAACCCTCAACCCGATGCCGACGCTCCGAATCGTTGAACAGGATTCCGGGAGCTTACAAATGGCTCCCAGCTGGGCCTTGCTGCTGGGACGGCAAGGGAGGGTTTAGGGTTTAGGCGTTTAGGAATCATGCTCTTCAGGAAGCCAACGGGGTCTCGGAGCAGGGGAAGGCTGTATAAGGTCTCTTTGAGGCTTTAGGGTTTCAGGTTTGGGGTTTAGGGTTGAGGGTTTGGAGGTTTGGGGGTTTAGGGTTTAGGGTTTAGGGTTTAGGATTTAGGATTCAGGGTTTAGGGCTGAGGGTTTAGGGCTTAGGGTTTGGGGTTTACGGTTTAGGGTTTAGGGACATCAGCTTCGATATCACTATCACTATCACCATCACTGTTACTATCACGACCACGATCACAATCATGAGCCTGATACCCTTAAGCTAAACCGCGCTGCAAAACATCCCACACTGTGGCCTCCATGTTGAAAGCATTCCGGCCAGCAGCAACACACAAGCCACGGGAAGAGCAGCGCTTCGGCGAGTGACGGGAGCCATTTTCTCAACTCAGCTTGGGGCGGCCTTCGAAGGCTGCTATTGGCTTTTGTGAACGAATGTCGGAATGATTGGGTTTCAAAAATGTCTGGCTTTTCGGGTTTAGGGGTCTGGTCGGGGGCTGCCTTTCGGGTATCTGGTTCTGGGTTTTTTGATCCGGGGGTTCGGTAGGCACAGGGAATCTGGATCTGGACATGCGCGTGTCCGGTTGGATGTGGGGTGCAGACTCGAACAGAAGATGTCGGCCTTGGGCCTCTAGACCGAACTGGGCTGTTTCAGGCTCTGTCGGAAGGTCGTGCAAGGTCTACATAAGGGTCTCGGAGGGTTCTATAAGGACCTAGCGTCGGTCTGTCTCCTAAATCCTGAAGCATTTAGGTGTTGGACTTTCCTTCGAACCAAATGCAAAAGCTGCGCGGCATTGACGGGCGGCTCGTTGATTGATTGCTAAGCAGCAGGTGACAGGCTTCGGGCATTTCTGCATTATAGGAGCAGCTTTGAGTCTTGGGCTTATGATTTTGGGCGCTTGGGAAGTGCTCCAGCGGATCCGAGACGCGCTGAAATCATCACTGCCGTGAGAGGAGGGCACACAAAATCTGGGCTGCGATAACGGGTTGGTGGACTCAGTGACTGCAACCGCTTGTGTTAAAAATCCACATGTAAGTCATGAATATACGCAGCAAACATGTTGAAGTCTACTTATGAACACACCATATGTCATACAAGGACGATGACCCGTTTCTATACTACCATGCCGCTGAACTAGAACTAGAATCCTGATCCCTAACCAGTCCCGGGCAGCAAACTCTGCAACCACAAATCTATGAGGGTTTAGGGTTGAGGGTTTAGGGCAGTATCCTGGAAAGTCCGACCTACACCCCACGAACCCTATCAAGCCGTCGAGGGCTGTACCACCGAATGTGTGTGTGTGTGTGTGTGTGTGCGTGTCTTCGAGTGCACTCGACAGTCCAGGTGTGTGGCTTAGGGATTAAACTTGATTACACCCTAAAACCCTAAACCCTAAACCCTTAAACCCTCAACCCCTAAACCCTGAACCCCTTAACCCTAGACCCGAATTCCTACAAGGTTTAGAAGGCTTCGGGGCAAAGGGATGTAATGTATTGGCCTTCATGATTAGAATAGGGTTTTGGGGTATATTATACTAGAGTTATAACAAGGAACAACAAAATAATATAGGTAAGAATAAAGGCCCCTACATTAAATTACTGTTTATTGGTTTGGGAGTTCAGGTCATGCTGGGATAGGGAGACAATTTGGGGCCTTCGGCATTTATGTCTTGGGGATTGTGGCTTCGGGTGTTCAGGGCTTCGGGTAGTGGAGTCTATCTCATTCAAGCAGCCTGCTCCGAAGCACAATCACATGTGATACATTCCCCATGGCACGACTGCAAAGACTAAGCCCTACATTGACCCTACTTCTTTGCACTGGACAACTGCAGATCGAACATGCCACAAAGCCTGCCTTTGTCCAGGGGGAAACTATTGCTTTTCCAGTATATAGGGGTTGTAATACCCCTCAAACAAGCTAAAAGCTACCTACTCTACTCCTAAGAAACTCCGCAACCCAAAAGTCCAAACCTCCTGAACCCAACCCAAGCCAAAAGCCCTTAAAATAGCCCTGGCAGTAACCCTTACAGTAACCCCTATACTTATGGCCGTGCCCCGTTCAGAATCCTTAAAGTAGACCTTGTAATTACCCTGATAGGAACCCTTCTGGTATCGCAACCCCAAACACTAAACCCCAAGCCCTGAACCCTAAACCGTGAACCCCTATGGTGTCCCAACCCAGAACCCTAGACACTAAACCCGAAACCGTAAACCCTGATGGTATCCTTTATTTGGAAACTTATAGAAGCCCGGAAGTTCGAAACCCAATAGCCTCAAGCCTCAAGAGTAAAGTATAGGGACTCCCAGCACTATTTGTCCTTGATCCGGTTTAAAAGCTTTTGGGGCTTTACTATAAAACCGCGAACCCTTATGGCCCTTATGGTATCCCAAACCGAAACGCGAAACCCTAAACACTAAACCCCGACACCCTAAACCCTAAACCCTAAACCCTGAACCCTGAACCCTAAACCCTAAACCCTAAACCCTAAAACCTAAAACCTAAACCCTGAACCCTGATTGAAAAACCCTTAAAGAAACCCCAAAACCAGGGACATCTCTGCCAGCTCCGCGAGCTCCGAGGATCCCGACGGCCACATGGCTGCGACGGTGACGGATCTGGCCTTCTGCTGCTGGGTTTAGGGTTTAGGGTTTAGGGTTTAGGGTTTAGGGTTTAGGGTTTAGGGTTGAGGGTTAGGGTTAGGGTTTAGGG